TGAAAATAAAAGCAGCCGTGTCCTTGCATTTAGTTGTCAATGCGCTACAAATATCTGCTTTTTATCACCTTCGTGACCTAGAAGCGGAGTCAAACGACGTATCTGATCCAAATTGCATTCACATTGGCGCTCATTTGCCAATACTAACACTACTAGTAGGATGTACTTATAGCATGTCCATTATACGCCAGCGCAAAATTCGCCATTGATGTGTGCAATTCTGCTGGTTGTGAGCCAAACGGTTTTTTTGGCTGTTTTGCTATTAGTGTAACTGCGTAAGGTCAGCATCCACCGTTAACTGCCGGCTTTCTATCAGCATCCGCTTCTATCAGCCAGTCCAGCGGGCCCCATGGTCTTAGCGTCGTCTATCTGCTCGTATAATAACCTTCTTGATACCAGTGCTGTTGATACTCGTGATGGTGTCAAGGCACTGGGAGCTTGACGGAAAGTGCACTAACATTCACATCGGTATCTCATGCCTGGTGCAGAGCTGCCGACGTAAGCAAGTCCGCCTGCAGGAAAAGGATGCATTTTGCCTCGCGAATGTCCACGGCATGCGGGTATACGGGAGCAGTAACGTGCAATGCGGCGCAGGATCTAAGAAGTCGTTGAACTCCTGGGCACGACTCATACCGGGACTACGCGGTGCGGGCATCCAACCGTGCACATGTATGTACACATAGACACGGAATATAACCAACGCACGGCGTGATCCGGACCTGCACTGGCTCCGCGTCCGTCTATCACCAAGCGGAAGGCTGCTCATTCAATGCACTCTCATGCGCAAGCAACGAAAACGAAGGATACAATCACCTTTATGCAACGCGTTTTAATGCGTGCGATCAGTGACACCATACGATGCCCTGCAGACAACCTTGCGCTCCGAGCAGTTGGTGACCATGCTAGCCCTTTCACCGGGGCTGGGTGCCGCTAGCTTTTTGGCCCTTTCACCGGGGCCTGGTGTCGCTAGCCGGCGAGCCGGCGAGAGACTTGGCCTGCCACAGCCCTGTCCATCGGTCTGGAGGACGCGTGACAAACGGCTCGACGCCGCACCCAAACCCCTGACCCGTGACGAAGCGCGCCTGCCGCTCAGCCGGTGCGGGCAGCTCCGACCGACGCCGGGGCACCGCTAGCTCAGTTCCCGGAGGAACAGGAGACCATTTTCGACCAACGCCTGGGCACCGACAGCTCAGCTCCCGGGACCGACGCCGGGACACCGCCAGCTCAGCTCCCGAGGGAACAGGAGACCAGCTCGGGGCCGGGCTCGGACCGGCCAGTCATTCATCTGTGGAGAGCGTGATGGCCGTGATGGCGTGATGGCCGTGATGGTGGACATCCTGGGGAGGGATGCAGTCGAGCTGAAGGTGAATGAAGTGTGCTCGCACTGTTAGGCGACTCCAACGGGCGGGCGTAGAATAACGGGACTCCGAAGCCTGTTGGTTTACGTCTGACAATTAGCCATGACGCCATGCTATTCAAACTGACAGCATTACTATAAGAATTTTCATGCGAGATGGCTGAGACAGCGCGGCACTTCAAAGTGGTCGGAGAGCCCCAATCGGCTCCCGTTAAGATTGATTGCAATCAAGTCCGGATAACTTGGCCGGACCTCACGGCTGGTGGCATTTTGTAGCTGATGCCTGATGGCTCGATGGAATTCTAGCCAGATGAGGTTTTGAACCCATACCGGAAACGGAGGCATGTGGGCTGTTCGTGTGGACGGTGCCGCACTCAAGCTGACATATATCTGAAAGAAGGAGAGAAAGATATCGATGCCAAGCTTCCGGGCGTCGCACCTGATGACCTCCGGAGTTGCAATGACCAATTGTTTGAAGGCTTGTATCGGGTAATAGACATTCCTGTAAACCTACACATGATTTTAAGTGCCTGGGTACAGACAACACCGCCGGAATCATTTGCATCCAGGCGGACGTTTCTCAAAAGAAATCGTCCCCTGGAGCTGGCTGTTTCTAGAGGCATGACCAAGGCCAACGCCCGTGTGGTCTCTAGTCTACTAATGTCACGTGCTCATAAAAGGTCGGATCGGTGAGTACAAAGCGAGGGGAAAGTGGGCGCTAAGGTGGACTGGCTCGTTGCCCTAAATAAAATGGCCGTCAGCTTGGCTTAATGAGCTGCGATATGGACTGATCAGAGGACAAACTAGCGACAGCCGAGTCCGCCTGGCGTCGCTCGACAGGATAACACCGACTGTCCTTCAAGTGCATTCGATCTCTCGCTGGATCTTCGCCTCTCCTCCCCGCCTCCGTTCCTTTTCCCTCGCCTTCCCCGTACCCGTCCTCCCACACACGATGTGGTGACTGATTCACGCGCAGGTTGAGTGGTTGAATGCATTTAGGCTGGTCCTGCGCGTGTCGTTAAACTCGCTTCCTTTAATTCAGTGCGTGGTTGCTTAAATGCACTATTAAAAATGCCCTGTTATGCACTGTTATGTAAATGCACTGCCAAAATACAGATGTATGAGAACCACAAGAGGAAAGAGAGAGGGAGAGGAAATCCGCACGTGATTGTGAAGCCAGCTTCGTAGGAATCCTGAGCGATACAGTGTCATAACAGATAAGGGCTGAGTCACGCACGCGGAGCAGTTCCTGCCCCGTCGTCACATCCAGGTTTAGACACCGCACACCATGCCGTACCTCGTATCAGCGCGGTTCCGGTCGCCATCAACGGGGACGGACTTCCAGTCTCGCGTCACGTCTCTGACGTCACTGTCTGTGGTGACCCTCCTTCCGGCCGAGATGCAGCCCGACGTGGGCCCGACCGGGCAGTATCACGGCGAGCTTCTGTGTGGTTAGACCACCCGCAGCAACCCCGCTGTCATCCAACCAGGTCAGCCTGAATGAGAGAGCTTAGCGGAAGGCCGGTGCCGCTTTCTTAGACCGGGTTCATGGCGGGGGCCAGGTGGACAGCGAGCCGAGGTGCAGACAAGGGTTCCGGCTTGCTTTTACAACAGGAAATGGGAGGATTGCAACTGGAACTATCTTGTGATGTCAGGAAAAGCGGCTCGCTAAGCGCGGTGCTGAGATCTGCGCGTCTCCGGGACGGTTTGGTTCGGTCTGCTGCATCGGGCATCTCGGACTGATGCCGGTAGATCAGTAGAGCAACGTTTGGTTGGGTGTCCTGCACCGGGCATCTCGGAATGATGCCGGTAGATCAGTAGAGCAATGTTTGGTTCGGTGTGCTGCACCGGGCATCTCGGACTAATGCCGGTAGATCAGTAGAGCAATGCTTGGTTTGGTGTGCTGCACCGGGCATCTCGGGCTGATGTCGGTAGATCAGTGGAACAATGTTTGCGTCCGTGAGTGCATCGGTGTGTCCCAAAGGATACCACGTGATAACATATCGATATCATCATGTCAATAACGAGCAAGGTCAAGCGCATCGCAATTCGCTGTTGCGGTGCGCAACGGTGAATTGCGGTTCCTCCTAGCATCAAACGCCACTAACACAACAACCGCGCTGTTTAGTGCCTGAGGGTAAGCAAATGTAAATAACTGACCGGAGGCACCAGCTGCGAGTTTCGTCATCGTTGTGACGCCTCTCGGTCCTGTCCGCTCCATGTCAGCTGGGCTCGTCTACCTCGCATCAGCTCAATGTCCCCACCGAGAAGGCCACTGACGTCACGGGGCCACCGGACCGAGCGCACCGTCCCGCCTCGACGAGTAGTCTGGACAACGAAAATGGCTCGATTCAGTCCTTGACGTGGATGCCAGCTCATTAGCATGCATGCTCTCCTTTACGGATCCAAGCGGAACGTTCTTCCACCCAGACTGCTCGCATTTGTTCAGGTGGAGCAGGCAGGATTACACCGCGATTGCAGATTGCTCCGCGCCTGTGAGCTCCTGATGTCTGCGCTGTACATCCGGCGAGCTGTCGGCGCCGTGGGGCTTCGGCAGGAGCTGTGCGGTTATGCGTCTGGCTCGGGATGACGGTCCAGAAGGCGGTCTCTTTATCCGCGGCGCGACCGCCCTCCCGGCGGGGTGGGAAGGTGTTTAGTCACGCGCCTCGGCCGCTCGCGCCCGCCGCTCGCGCGGCTGCTAATGCACACCGAACCGGCGACTGAATGCGAAGCCTTGGTCGGTCGGTGAATCGACTCAGCCAGTGAATGCTGTGCCCGATGCTGCGATGAATTGGCAGATGGGTCGGCCGACATTGTGCAGCTGCGCTGGGACACGACAGAGGCAGAGTGGCCCGTCGTGCTCCTGGAGGAGTGGCCCGTCGCCCTGCTGGTTTCTGCGGCGCGCGACCACCAATTTTGACCCGCCGCCTGACTTGAGACTCGACTTGTGGGCGCTGGACCGGTCACAGCACGCTCCAAACCGACACTAGAGTGTTTTTTTTTATCAGAAGACGGCATCGTGCAAAACTGATTTGCGGTGCTGAAGATATGCATTCGCATGATCGACGTCGCTATGCATGTAATTCTTTACATGAAAGCGTGATTGATAAACCTTTTGTGGTGTGTCCAACTGATGCCTTACGATCTCATCTTGCTTGCTACTGATGAAGTTTCTGTGATGTGTTCAACTGATGCTGCGCAGTTCGCTGAAAATTTGGTGCACGAATTGTTGATGCGTGTTTGAATAAGCATAACGCAATTAATACATTGAAAAATAACGTACTCTTTCATCAATGCGTGTTAATGAGGTACGGAAGTGGATCGCGTCGCAAACTTGTCAGCATCCTTACTACGCCAACAGCCCTTTCTTTCGCGAAGAACCGCTCCGCCTGTCCTGCAACCAGCACCAACCACCACCACCTACGCTTCATCCTGACATGGAGCACGGGGCAGGCTCTCCGTGCCGCTCTGCGCTCCCCCCCCCCCCCCTACAGCTGCGCGCCGACGCGTCATCACCGATGATCTCTCGCCGGAGCATCGGAGGCTGCAGCCCTCCCCACGCCCACGCGCGTCGACCGGTCATGCGCTCGGTGCACAGGCGCCGACACCGCTATATAGACTGAGCGTCGGTCTTGCGTTGCAGAGATGGCCAAGCAGCTGGGCTGGTGATCCTCCGTCGTCGTGCGACCTCCGAGCAGCACCCGCAAAATGCGCCTCGGCACCATGACAGCTATAGTGGTGAGTGGGACGGGGGGAGGGGGGCCTCAGACGGACGCCGCTTCCGGGTGCCGGAAACAAGGAGCCCGGCAACCTGGCGCTCTTGTGATCCGCTGCTGTGATACTTTTATCGTGATTTTTTCCCCACAGCAAATTGGAATGGCCTGTTTGTCACACATGCTAGCTGCCAGCGAACCAATGCTTGTCTGAGTTGTCATATGGCCCGTGTCGGCCACGAGGTCGCCTCGGAGTCGCGTGGTTCGGAGCTGGCCCGTCAGCTCAGACCGTGGCGATGTCTTGATGCCAGCATTCGCCTGATCACTTCTCGTCAACGATGACGGAAGCCACGATCCGCCCGCTGGATCCGATCGTGACTCTGACCGGGACCCAGGGTCACGAATTTGGATCGAGGTGGATGGATCTGAACCGGCACTCGAGCATCGCTTCCCGCTCCAAAGCAGACGCTCTCTGATCTTGCTCAACGAAGTACATTGCTGGTTCTTTGGGTGGGAGGAGGGAAGAGGTAGCCATGTCCTGGAAGACATTTTAGACCGAGCGTCGGAAACGTCGCCGGGTCGGTAGCGGGAGCGCTTTGTAAGTTTGCGGATCTTCTTGCCTTTTTCATGTCATGAGATGTTGGTTCTTGCTCGCTGTCCTATATGTGAAATTGGGCTTGCGACGACATTGGGAAAATTCGAAATGCCCGAGCTTTATCCATTCATATGCACGATTAGAGCACTGCGATTGCGATACTGGTCTTACCTTTGGTACTCGTTTATGAGTGTACTTTATACCGTGCTGCATACACCGCCTAAATCTTGTTGAGTCTTTAGCAGGCAATCTAATGGCTTCGGATTGGCAATGAGCTGCTCCTGATGCTGAAAACACTTGCGCATAATTGTGATTATTGTCATATGTGTGGCATTTAGTGTCGTCACATTTGTGAAGCCACGCAGTAGTGCTCCGACGCCTTGGTATTTTAGTTGTTGTTTGGTTTCGTTTGGATTAGAGCTATTTCGGTCAGTAATGGCCATTTCAGGGCTTTGGGATGAAGGCAAATGGCTGACGGTGGGGCAAAACTGCACGCACCTGGGGGCCATCTGCCGATAATTAGCCCACCCAAGGCCCCCTGTGCGGGGTTATGTGGTATGCACGGCGTATGTGCTCGGCACTCGGCCCGGGGGGGGGGGAGGGGGAAAGGCACGTGAGGCCCCTCATCACTCATGGCTGGCGCATTTGACTTGCCCCCGCCCCCGATGAACGGAGCGATGCAAGGGTTGAGGATGAAGCTGGAATGAGGAATGGATTACATTAGAACTTCATTTCATATGCCAGATTAAGGTGTGCAAAGTTCGTGACCAGTCTGCGGAACGGCTTATGCCATTTTCAGCGGTGTGTGAGAGGTAAATCGTACTTTTGAGCGATTTCTTGAGGAGAGTTTTATGATACTATGAGATCCGCTAGTTCTCCATTTGATCTGCTCACACGGTCTGCATCAGTGGGCGGCCAGAGGTTGTCAGCGAAGGCATTTGTTTGTGTCTAGCCGTTCTTACTGTGTGACAGTGACTTTGTGGGCAGATCATGCTTGTGTCGATGATTAACGTCCCCAGGGTGATGTCTTGTCGGTGTCTTACCATTGCGACGGTGTTGATATAGTGTGTCGGTGTCGGAGGCCTCCGGTTCGGAGGACAGAAGTGCATCGGTGTCTAGCAGGATTGTCATGTCGGCTGGCTGTGCTGGTGTCGGCACCAGTGGCTGTGAGTGCAGTGTTTTTTCGGTGTCTACTTCTTTTTGCTGCTTTAACAGGATTTTAAGCGTCAGTGACCAGGTATTTTGAGAACACCAAACTGCTAGCGTCGGTGGCCGAAGGCTCCAAAAGCTGCTTTCCCATGCTCCCTGTATTTAACCATTGGCATTACGTCGGGACGTTTTGCTGGTGTCAGTAACCAGCGGACATGAAGTGCAGTGGTTTAGCGGTGTCCTACAAGTGTTGTTGCGTTCTTTGCAGATCACGTTGCCTTTGATGTCCAACGGTTCTGGAAGCAGCGGCTTGTTGGTATCTAACTATCGCTATTATGCTGGCAGGTTTTGTTGGTGTCGGCGACCAGCGGTTCTGAGGGCAGTGGTGTATCGGATCTGGAGGAGGTCGGCCTGTCCAGTCATTCTCCCAGCACGGGGAGTCAACACAGAATACGCCACAGGTACAGCATTCCTAGCGTGCTCTCTGAATATAAACGTTTCATCTAACCTGGATTTTGACCGCACGTAGGATCATCGTAGGAGACATGGGCCTATCACAAATCGGCTTTCATGCACGCACACGTGCATCAGCTGAAACGTCTTCATTCTGTTGAAAAGTGAGATGCATTTTGTCAGCTGGTTGGTCTTCACCCTTGAGCATTTCTGCCAGATCTTTCTCAGACGTGGGCACATGCCATCATGTCCCAGCATCGCGACACAGCCTCTATAGTGCAGCGTGATGACCCAGTGAGCCGGGGCTTCCATCGGGCAGATGACAAGTTTACGTTGTCCCCTATTGGTTGTGGTTTACAAGCTCCTGCTGGCGGTCGTAATCCCCTGCTCTACCCAGAACCATGCAGATGTAAAAATTTTAGCAGATCGCATCCGTTTGGAATCCACGTCAGCAGACAACTAAGCCGCTTAAACTCATTCACTCTTTGAAAGACTTAACGCTCGCGCTCGCTTTGCGAGGGACACTGGGAAAATGTGCAAACTCCTATGAACTCTATTTCGGGTAGAAGCTTGTCACGCCGCAGGCGTTAACCGAACATTGATTGTTGATTCAGATCCGCTGGCTTGTTTTGGGTTCGTGTCTTATGTTTGGAGATGGCGCAGGATGTTTCAAGGTATGTAAATCTCGACGTGTAACATCGGTCTGTTTACGATGCGCCTGACTATTTCCAGCGGCCGTAGGCCTGTAACGCTCTCTCAGCGTGATGTCCACGGGGTCACGCTTGCGAGCTTGCTGCCATTCTTGCCTGGGTCATGGCGTTTACGCAGGGATGAATGTCGCGATAAGGATGCTCGTAGTGCCCTACGCGATGCAAAACACAACAAAACGAGTGCTTAAACTGGTTCGGATGAAAGACCAAAACTCACGATTGAATTACATCCAATCAATTTAGGGAGATGTAGCCGCTCTAGATCCTGTACAACATTATCCACTTGCGGTCTCATATTGCACTAACTCCTTAGAAAGATGTGAATAGTGAGCCTTGTTTTTGTCGTAAATCACGGCCCCCATAACGCATGTTTACGGCTGGAAGGTATGTGTGAGCTGCCCTCTACCAACGGAGCTTATTGCATGGAAAAACCGCTGGAACCTTGGCCATTTAGTCAGCGGAAATAAATCCCGCGCGCCTGACCGCGAGGTTGTGACCGTCCATTCGTAACGAGCCTGCCAGCCGTGTCGGCATCGTGCGTTTAATGGCCCCCGATAGCGAAACATGTCCCGTGTCGACGCGGCCGCAGCAGGTGCATCTAATCTGTCGGGCTTCACCCGCGTGCGTCGCCAGCATCACGCTGGTGGCGCCGCCTCGCGCCGCGCTGGAGCTCCAAGCGCGCGCCCGAGTCCCGACCCCGGAGCCGGGGCGCATGGGGTCGGTCCCCGCCGCCGCCGGGGCGGTGACAATGCCGGTGCCGTTCCCGGTGGCGTTCAGGTCAGCCCTGTGGCGCGATCACGAGCCCACCGCCTCTGCCACGTGACCAACTGCCACGAACGCCGCTGGGACCGCCCGAGGCGTCCCCGGCGTGAGGCAGACCTCTCCGCGTTTGTCGTCTCTCCATATTTTGGAGCCGGAGGGCGGCTACCGTATGACTTCCGGCCGGGTCTCCCGCAGGTGTCGTTGACCCCGGGTGGCCTCCCTGGAGGGCCGTTTTCCGCTGAGCACGCCTCGATTGGTCACAAACAAACCATTACGTCGCCAACGCGACCGGGGCGTGATGACCCAGGCGCCGCGCGTGGGCGGCTCGTAACACGGACGATCGGCGTCACGTGCGCGGCCGCGCCCAGTGCGGCGGCAGCGCGCTGCTCCAGGTCCCCTTCGTCCCAATGGAAGACGTAAGATCGCTCCCGGGTGGGAGGTGCCTTATAATGAGCGGCCGATGCAGACTATTTTTTGGTGTTTGGTGTAAGTGGATATGGGTTTAGCACCAATTTGATTCGAAAATAGCCAAGGAGGTGGCGGCGTTGGTTACGTCGGCTTTCACTGGAGGCCGACGCGGATCTAAAAATGACACGCGCCGTACATCACTGACACAGGCTTCCACTGTCTCAGTTTCTAACATTCGCTGCGGACAATAACAGTTTTTTATACTTCGGCCTATGATGCACCCTAGCATAGCGACATACGGTGAGTGGCAGGTGCCGTGCAATGAGATAAGGTAGCGCACATCTCTTTAGGGAGATGATGCCTCATCACTATTAGATTGGCTGACCCCATTGAATCTCATTGAAATGAGGTGAGGCTTCACATCATGCTTTTTTGACATAATGACATTTAACATTAATGTGACAGTGCTTTAGCACCGCAAAACTTTCCCAGTCGGCACAACGGTCCCTGTTCGCTGCGCACCGTGCGCCACGTGCCCACCGCCGCCTGACAGCGCCGTCCTCCGGCAGGCACGCGGCGCGACGGCGGGCGCAGCAGGAGCGGCGTCAGCTGGCCGTCGACGAGCCGCTGCCGCTGCCCGACGACCTGCAGGAGTCGGCCGAGGACCCGGAGCTGGAGGACGGCCGCCAGAGGGCGGCGCTCCGGTACGCTGACCCGGCCGCCGACTTCACCGTCTGCTGCCCGGCTAAGGAGGAGCGCACGAGCCCGCACGCCGGCACGAGGCGCGACGGCAGCCTCGCCTTCCTCTACTCTGACGCCGACTTCAAGCAGATGTTCTTCGAGCGCTCGTGCCGCGAGCAGACGGACGAGGAGGTGGCGCTCGTGCGTCGCCTGGTGCGCCGTCGCTTTCGCTGCGTGCAGGAGTACTCGTACTCGTACGCCGTTTACGACGTGAACGGCGCCAAAATGCTAGACTTCATTCGGATACGCAGTGGTTGCCGGTGCGAGATCAAACAGCGGAGCAACCGACGGAAAAAGAAGAGGAAGTGGGACCGGAAGCAGAGTGCGGCCATGCGACGGCGATACCAGAAGCGGCGTCGCCGTGCCCAGCGGGGAGGGCAATCTCAGACGAACGCTCGCACCGCGTCATAGCTTTATATATTAATGATGTGATGGTTAGAATCGGTTGCCTGTGCGCGCTACGATAATAACAAACATTTCGGTCACGACAGTGGTTTAATTGAGAGCCGCTTTTAGCGTTTGTTGCGCGTGCGAAGGTCGGTCGAACAGCTGACGACTCTGCGGCCCCAGGCAAGTTTGCCGCCGGCTGTGTCAGGGCATGGTTCCTATTCTCCGGCTTCGGCCACTGCCATTAGACTACCTGAAAATCTTTAATCGGTTTTCGCTGCTCGGAGACGAACGTTTGGCTTTTACTGAGTTGACCGTGTTTTGTTGACTCGCGCCTGTCACCGGGCTCAAGCACTGTTTGGTGCTCCAACGCGTCTTAGGCAGCTCATTCACTTGTGGTCTGCATTGAATTGACTGTGCCGCGTCATAAACCCTGGTAAGAAACATCATTTTGCCACATCCATGTCTAATGCCCTTGGAACAGAGACTCATCTTGCGAACTAGCGGAAGTCCGCACCACTTACGTCACGTATCACGTCACCCACACACCTCCACGTGGTTGAAACTGCAGCCTGGCAGCTCGTCTCGACATTTGACATCCCACACGCATGCTCTCTCGCTGCCGGGCTCGCAGCGCTCGCACCAACAGATGCGACGGCCGCGCGCGCCGTCTAGCTCACAATATCCTCCGGATGGTACAGCAGCCGTTGGCCAGGTTGTCGACGGAGATATTCATGCCGTTGAGGTCCGTGCCGCCGTTGGTCAGAGTGAACTCGGAAGACAGCGTGGTGGAGTACTCCATCTGCAGGGGGAGGGGACGGGGTCAGTGTCCGTCCGCTGGCGTCTGGCTGAGCTCTGCCGCCATAGCTGTGGACTGGAGGGCACACGCTCGTAATAGCATTGCCATGGGATATGTTGTGGGTGGGGCACAGTACACAGCATTGCCGTGAGTTCCGGACTGGGTGGGACACGGGAGACACGTTTTCCACAGCGCATGGTCTCGATGCGGCACAGGACACAGCATTGCCGCGACATCTAGACTGGGTGAGACACGACAGACGGCCTTTCCGCAGGATTTGGACTGGACGGGGCTCATTAAACAGCATTGCTGTGGGATGTGAACTGGACATGACAGGAATTTGGGGTTCTGCAGCATATTAACAAAGCTGACAGGCTGTAGACTGCCCTGCAAGTGATCGTTGAGCCAGACCCATTACACTGTGGTCGTTGCTCAGGCAAAGCAACGTGCCCATAGACAGTTGCGTTAGATAGCACGGGGGTCGCACTGCTGAATTCAACAAACCACGATATCGACACACTAGCATTTTCGCAAAGCTTCTAATAATCACTGGAAGGTGTAGTAGAGACGAGAGACATAAGCGACGATAAATTGCCGAACATCCAGGAATGGAAACCAAGCCGGTCCGTAGAACGCATGTTGGGTGGATAGCAAAAAGCGTACGATCATCGTGTGAACAGTGTCAGTCTAGACAGCTTCGTGGCCCCGTATTAAAATACATTTGAGGAAGTACCCCTTCAACCGTGAGCAGACACATTGCAAGATCTTTGTGTCTTACTCGGCCCAAATTCGCGAACAGCGTGCGTCACACCTTAAACACCGCAAGCGAACCTTACTCACCTTAAGGAACATAAAGTAAACACCCCACAAGAGAAGCGCACCAAAAAACAGCTTGAGCACGCATTAGCTGCAGCACGAAGAGCACGTGAACTCGGAGATATGGCATTTGTGACTGTCGTTGCACGCACCGGCGTTCACGTCTGCCGCACACACGCTTGCACCGTTGCACGCCTCTGTTCTCCGAATACGGAGTCAGCCGGGGGCCGCGCAAAGATCTATCAACCGAAGGTTACCAAGCGTGTAACGGCCATGGTTAATGGCAGGCCAATAGCATGGCTCTCACTCCTCGATAACGGTGACAGGTGCAGCTCATTACCAGGCGCCGGGCCGACACACGGACTATCAGTGCACATCATGCCAACAGATAATTGTAGCCGAGACCAACCGCGTACAACAAGTGGACGAGCCTGCGCTGAGATGACCAAATGGAGTGGTGTCTGCGTGAACATGGGTATTTAGCTACCAGTAACCGTGGCCGAGATCCGATGCACTTCAGATTGCCGGCCTTTAGGCAATGGGTAAAAACAGGCAATCTTCCATGGGCCAGCTGAAAATCAATATATTTAAGTCGAGAAACTGATCTGTACACAAGAGGTTGAAGACCTCGAGTCACAAGGACGTGCTTTCAACAAAAATCCATAGCGAAGCTGGCTTTCGATCTGGTACGTCATCTACGTACTTCTAGATAGCCAACAAGCAGATCCGCCAGATAAAATTAGGTTTTGGCTGCGCCCCCCGATGGCCAAAATACAACGTAAAACGCTTGGGAAGATGTGATTTTCAGATAGGCAGCTCCAACGCGCCCTTGGTGAAATGGGCCCAAAATGATAAAGAGAGAAGCGCGCTGTGCTTGTTGACCTGACCTGACGTGGCGTCGTCAGGTCAGGACACGAAGGGGTTGATGGCGACGTTCAGCGAACTGACTGGGCGATCAGGTAGCGCGGTCGGGTGGGAAACAATCTCATCGCGGTCAAAGAAAGTCCGTAATCCTTTGGATCATTTGGTTAATTCTAAGGAATATGGTCTCCGTCTTTTATGGCTTCGTTTGGACGCGTTTGGTCGAAACCAGCTTTCCGGGCTAACCAACTCATCATGAATTCGAGAGCTAGGAATATGAGGCTATTTGCTCTCGCTCGGTCTAGCAGCTAGGTGTCGTCCGCACATGTGATTGCTTGCAAGTTGAAAGCATACGCAATACCTTGATCAGATAACACGGCATGTCGTGGATCACGAGAGAAAGAAGATAGGCTCTGCCGTCAATCCCTGTACGGCGCCGCGAGTGACGGCCGCGGCAGGTTCGCTAGTTGCTATCATTTCTGACCACCTGGGCGCGCCCAGCGATATGACTTCTGAATCACAAAGGATTGATTTTGCGCTTTTCCAGCTTGCTGAAGAGAGCACAAACATGTTGGCTGACTTCCAGAGATCCTGGTTTGGAAAACCTTGTCCTCCTATGAGAATCCAGCGCAGGAAGTCGACAAGCGTGCTCAACGTCTCATCAATCATGCACTATGCAAAATACTTGATGAATGATAGCAACCTGTGTTGTTGGTGTTCAGCATGCAGCAGTCTGAAACGGCTAACATGAAGGCCAGGAAATGGAGATGGAGGTCAGGAAACAGGAAATGGAGATTTCTTGTGAGCGCTGGTCAAGCAGTGGGTACAGTTAATTACAAACTTCTTGAAGCGGAAGCGGGCCATTTGGGCCTTCCCACAAATGGGCGTCGAAATAGGGAGAGGGCCGTCTTAGGAAACAAGAGTGAGATGACGAAACACATTGGTTGACGTGGAGCTCGCTCCCGCTACACGGAAGAACGAGCTCGTCAGCAGCAGCGATAGTCTGCTGCAGCCGGTGGTGCCGTCACAAACCGTCTGTCAGGAGACCGCAATCTTAATCTTTGGGCTTTATTGGATGAACCGGCTCGGACCGAGTCACGCTGGTCCGTGGTCATGCTATCACATACCTAGTGATTGGCCATCACTGAGCCCCGTTTTTTAGTCCGTTTGTTGTATGTCTGTCTCATGATACGACAAACAATAGCCCGAACAGCATGTGTGTGATCCACGTGAGGTGATAAGGACCATGCGATGCACCAGTCACGGGCTGTTTTTGGTTTGCACAGTCCGGAAACCAGGTTTCTATAAAACCGACACTAGCAGCAGCATTTGCAGCACGGCTTAAAGACAGAACGTTACGTTGAAGTCGGTTGCAATTTTCAGAACGGTAGTAGACGCACTTTACTTTTTCTTCAAACCATGATTTGGCTGCTCAGAGTCAGACACCAAACAATGGTGAATGCCTAGGCAATAAGACAAGCTAATAATAATATCTGTGCAAAATTGGCAGGCCTGACATTTGCACTGCGCTGAACAGCCCCTATAATGTTAAACCGAATAATGACTTATCACATATAATTCACGATATACTCTTGGCACACGATTCAAACATGCCAATGTCGGAAAATAACGCAAGGGTACAACAGATGTGCCAATGATTTTCATACGCCTATTGGGCGCAGGCGGGAAGCATCGCATCAGTTGCAAAGTGTGGTAGTTTGAGTAACGCATCAAATTCGGCACCTGGCGGACACAAGGTCAGAAAAAAATAACAGGTCGCGTAACCTGGTGCGGAAGCAGAAAAGAAGAAGCAGTAGCATTACGCAAATCAGATGAAATGCGAGACCTCACGTAGTCAAGCTAGAACAACGAGGAACGCGGAAACTCATCTTTCCGGTGGTTCTTTCTCCTGCAGTCACAGCAGAAGGAACCCCATTTGACTGAGGCCGCAAAACAGGATCAAATGTCCCATCACCTTATGGAAGACTCACAGGGATGGACGTTGACCATCACCTAAACGAGCTCAGCCACATTTTGTCCGGATAAAGCCCAAACGGGACCATGCAGGCCTTCATCCCGGTCGAGGTCCATCGGGGAAAACACAGGCCCTTACCTGACAGAGGTCGCACAGGTAATGGCATTGGTCCTCACTTGATTGAAGCCAAATGCCCTCAAATGACAGATGCCAATCAGCATGGAGGGGGGGGGGGAGGGGTATAACCTGAATCTGAATGAGATTAGACGACTCCGTCCGACACAAGACACCCAGGGGGGAGCACTCTTCCCACCTAGCTGAGGTCAGTTATCCTCAAGGATCAGAGGCCTGAGGTCAGAGATCAGACGCCTCCGTCTAGCACAGGACATCCAGGGAGGAGCGCACTCTTCCCACCTGGCTGAGGTCAGGTATCCTCAAGGGCCAGAGGCCTGAGGTCAGAGGACAGACACCTCCACCTGGCGCAGGACACTCAGGGAGCAGCACACCCTTCTCACCTGACTGAGATCGAATACGCCGGACGCGGCGAGCGTGGCCACCGAGTTCATGGAGCAGCTCTCATCGCCCCCGGGCTTCAGGAAGAGCGGCACGGTCGTGTCAGTGACCAGGTCGCCGAATGCGTTGCCCTGCAGCCGCACCGCCTCGCCCGGGAGCTGGGTCAGCACGAAGTACTGGTTGGCTTGGGCGGTGTTGAACTGGTTCGTGAAGCAGATGGCCGCGCGCTGCGGAAGGACATGATCCTGACGTCACGAGACGCTCACGCGAGGCAGACGGGACGAAAGTGTGTCAATATGGCCAAAGCGATCCCTTTAAATATTGGTAATAATTTGGCCACTAGAAAAACAGAGACGTCAGGGAGCTGACATATGAAAGCGAAAATGGAGGCTCTGTGGGAAACACAATCAAACACAAGTGCTGGCAACGGCACAGCTGGCTAGGACGCAGTAAAAAATTATGTAGAAACGATCCAGATATCGCTTGTC